ATTGGCAAAAATGCCACCGGGATTCTTGAACCCACTCCAGATGTGATAAAAGTACTGAAAGAGAAGCATCCCAAGGCATCAACTGCATCAAAGGGAAGCTGTCTGAGTGGACCAGTGAGGAGAGTAGAGCCGGTTATCTTTGACAGTATTGAGGGGGAATCGATAAGACAAGCAGCAAAGAGAGTACAGGGTGCTGCAGGGCCTTCAGGAATGGATGCGGATGCGTGGAAGAGACTACTGTGTTCTAAACAGTTTGGTAAGAAGTGTGAGGATCTATGCAATGCTATAGCAGGGATAGCAAGGAAACTATGTGTCAGGAATCTGGATCCAACGATGTTGACCTCATTGACAGCATGTCGACTTGTTCCCCTGGATAAAAAGCCTGGCGTCAGGCCTGTTGGCATTGGTGAAGTCTTACAAAGGATAATAGGGAAGACAGTGATGACCCTCCTACAGAAGGATCTGGTTGGTGCCACTGCTCCTATTCAAGTGTGTGCTGGTCTTCAGGGAGGAGTGGAAGCAGCTGTTCATGCTGCGAGGGACTGCTTTGAAGATCCTGAAACTGAAGCCATCATCTTAGTGGATGCAGAGAATGCATTCAACTTGCTGAACCGAGAGGCAGCTCTTAACAACATGTATATTGTATGTCCAGAAGTTGCTACCTACATTATGAACACCTACAGAATGCCTGCTAGACTGTTTATTGCAGGAGAAGATGAACATCTTTTTAGTGAAGAAGGGACAACACAAGGTGATCCACCTGCTATGGGATTTTATGCATGTGGTACAATACCATTGATTGATGCAGGAAACATTGAGAGAAAAGTGACTCAGATCTGGTATGCTGATGACTCTGCTGCTGGGGGAAATTATATTATATAACTTTATTCAAATCAAAAATAGAACATAAAGAACATCTTGATGACCTGATAAGTCACCAAGAGAAAAATAACACAGAATAAACTAAATCATGCTTAACTCTCTCCATGCTTTTCTATTTGTCGCTAAAAATCTTAAATGGTATAAATCGTCTGTATTTACAAGTCTAAAGTTTCTATCACTTAAATCGTTCAAAATAGTTTTTAACAAGTTTGACTGGTGTCGTCCGACTCTACCTCTCATCAAACTCTGACTCTCTACAGCAAAATGTAAGGCAAGCTGGGCAGGTGAGTTATTATCACTGCGGAGGATGTGACCGAGCATTCTCCACCGTGCACGAGCAACACGCTCACTTAGTGGTACAACTTCGCAGCGTTTGTATAGAGTCACATTTCGTATGACATTAGGGTAGGTCATGCAGATGATCGTACGGAGATGATTCCTGTGGCAGACATCAAGTTTTTGAAGGAGTTGTTTAGATGTTGCCCAACTGTTGCAATTATACATCAGTATTGAAACAACTTGTGCTTCATATATCTTGAGTCGAATCTTCAAGGGTATACGTCTACCTTGTTCCCAGACTTTTTTGTAGTTCTGAAAAGCAATGTTAGCAAGTATACATCGTCTCTTGACATCTTCGATGCTACACAACTTAGAGCCTAAAGAGATAGATGACCTCCAAGGTTCTCTACCTCTGAGTGTTTCTCCTTTGTTATCAACCTCGTTCTTGCCGGCCAGATAGAAATGGGTGAACTCGGTTTTTGACTCATTGACAAAAAGATTCCACTCTTCCAATATCTCTTTACATATTGGCAACAAAGACTCCAAATTGCTTTTATCCTCATCAGTAAAATCAACATCATCTGCGTACTCCCACTCGAGGGGTAATAGATTCTCAGCTATGGGAGGGTTAGGTCTTAGATAGGACATAACAGCACGCAGGTGGTAAAGTGCTGCTGCCAGATATAGAGTGAACAAGTTTCCAGACAAACTGTCGCCTTGAAAAGCTCCAATCGTGACAATAAACTCTCCCGATATTGTTGAGTTCACTTTGATCTTCAGTTTAGTATTTGCGAGCAAATACCTTACCAGTCGAAAACTGGAAGAAATGAGGAAATGGTGGGATAACCTCTGCATTAAAGGACCACTTTTTGGTTACAACCCTAAATCTTCCAAGACATGGGTGATAGTCAAGCCTGAGCACGAAGAGAAGGCAAGAAACTTGTTCCCAGATGTCAATGTGACAAGTATTGGTCGACGATATCTGGGCAGCTTTATCGGAACTGATGAAGGAAAAGGGGCTTTCATCGAGGAAAAAGTTCAAGAATGGTGTCATGATCTTAAACAATTAAGTGATATAGCATCAAGAGAACCTCAAATAGCATACAGTGCATACATGTATGGGCATATACTGGGTATATACTACTAATGGGCGTAGTAAAAGATGGAACTATGTGTGCAGAACTACCCCAGGAGTTGCAGATAGGCTCACTCCTCTGGAACAAGTAACACGCGATGAGTTTATCCCAGCTATCATCAACAGGCTGTTTAGCTGCACTGATGAACTAAGGAACATAATGGCTCTACCACCAAGATATGGAGGATTGGGTATACCAGTTATGATGGACATGGCAGACCGAGAGTACAAATTCTCATGTAGAGCCACAAAACCCCTTAAAGAAGCTATTCTCAAGCAGGTAGACAACTACACAGAGGACTGGAGAGTAAGCAAAGGAGTGAAAACTGAGATAACAACTGAACGAAATCTCTTCTATCGACAAAAACAAGCCGAAATACGCCAGGAGCTCGAGTCAACACCACTGGCAAAGTTGATGTTCCAACTAGCTGCTGAGAAAGGGGCAAGTGCTTGGTTAACAGCACTACCTTTAAAAGAGTATGGATATCTGATGAACAAACAACAGTTCTCAGACGCAATAGCACTCAGATATAACCTAAACTTAAAGGACAGCCCTAAGACATGTACGTGTGGCCAAAAGTACTCAGCAAACCATGCGCTCATCTGCAAACTCGGTGGATATGTGTCACTGCGGCACAACTCGCTGAGAGACACCTTTGCTGAACTAATCGATTTGGAATGCTTCAGAGAGGGCATATTTTGATGTAAGGGTATTTCATGCCCCAGCCCCCTCCAATGCAAGCAAATCGATCCCAGCAATGTACCAGTCCCATGAAAATGAGAAAAAGCGATGTTACAACGCAAGGGTTCTTGAAGTGGAGAAAGGAAGCTTCACACCTTTAGTGTTCTCGACTTCTGGTGGAATGGGTAGTGAGGCTGAAAGACTGGTAAAAAAGCTGGCCAGTAAGATGGAGTACCACACTGGCCAGAGGTACTCGGATGCTGTAGGTTACATCAGAAAGCGCCTTCGCTTTGAAATCCTAAGAACAATGTAGTGATTTCTCTCCGTGGAGACAGAGGTGCGAGAAAAAACATTGTTAATATAAACAGTCTAGATCTTAACTTGGAGCCACAAGGCCAAGGGTAATTTTTGAGTGTTTAGGGAATTTTTTATATTCTTAAAGGTTTGTTTTTATATAGGGTCATTGCTATATTATGTGTATATTGTTTGAATAATTTTATAATATCTACTTTTGGCCCACCCTGTACATATGCGCTTCCTAGGTAGCGCACGTGTGTTATTATATTGCTGGAACTGCTAGACATTGGACTTTTTAAAAGTGTAGCTGAAAACATTTCTTTTCAAACGTGCTCATAATATTGTACCTTAATAAAAAATTCAGTCTGCTGCCACTATCAATATTAGTGTTCAATGTTGGTTTTAATCTGGTGTCATGCTTGAGTTGGTTTTGGACCTCTTCATGCTTTTGATTTATTTATTATATTGTTATTCGCTATTATGAGCTAGGATATCAGGCAAATAAGCTTGGCCACTACTGGGAACTGTCATATGACATCTTTGATAGGATAGATGTGTCTGTGCCTAATAGGAATAGTTATGTAAGTTATATGAAAGAGAATCTAATGGTAGCTAAGAGGAAGAAGGTTAATACCAAAGGTATTTAGCTGAATTTTATTTTAGTATATGGTTTCAAACGTAATTTGTTCATTTTCTGTGAATTTCTTTTTTGAGATGCCCAGAGAGGCATTATTTATAATGTTATGTTAAGTGTATAGCGAGCAAATTTAACAATTTTTGAGCAATAATGTATTGCAAGCAGCTGTGACTTAAATATCGCAAAATCATATAACTCAAAATTATTATAAAGGGTCTCAATAAGAGGTCTCGACTGCCTAGGCGTCAAACCTTGGCAGTCGGTAGTTTCCCTCTGGCCCGGGATCAGCTGACCCTAGGGACCAGAGGGTAAAGGTGTAGAGACTATGTGTATCTACAAATCTTTCTAGGTTGTTTTTACAAGAGACAGGGCTTGCTACGCAAGGGAAGAAAACCGGGAGAAACAATCACAAATTATACAAATAAATATTATAAAACCTAGCAAAAAGAAATTCAAACAATCCTACACTATATATACTATATACACTATATATACTACTACAAAAGTTTATTACATACTACAATGTAATACACGATAAATAAATGCTATATAATCAAGAAACAGGGCTTGCAGGGCAAGGGACGGAACACAGGGACTGGCTACAGAGTGTATAAAACAGTGATTCAGCAAGTACCCATTGGGTATTGCTGAATCTGACCCACAAAATACCACAATCAATACAAGAATATACAATATTTAAACAAACATCATGTTTCTACAAGAATCAGGGCATGCAGAGCAAGAGAAGAAGAATAAGAGAAAAACTCCAACACATGTATACCCCTTAGTCCATTAAATAACAATAATTACTTGTACACAAAACTGTATTAAATATAAAATACATAACAAATACACAGTCTACCCAATATACGGGTTAAAAATGGTATAAACAAGAGACAGGGCTTGCATAGCAAGGGAAGAGAAATAAGAGGACCAGGTAAAAAGTGTTTATTACAGTATCCAGTGAAGAATAAACTAAATATAGAGTATCTACAGTGTATTATACTCTCAATAATATCATATGTCTAAGACCATCCTGAGAATTCTGGCTGATCCTAGCAGAGCTGTCTTCTGGAGATTAGAGATGCTCAGATTGCAGTGGACTGCGTCGAGGTGTTTACGAAAGTTAATGGTGATCTAGTTCCTAATGCGCCTATCACCACAGGGACGATTGTGACCTTTCGTAAATTCCAGTTCTTCTTAATTTCTCTTTTTAGGTCTTGATATTTCAGTACCTTTTCTTGTTCTCTATCCAGGATCCAGGTATCTCCTGGGACTGCAACGTCAATGATGGTTGCTGCGTTGGTTACCTTGTCTACCAGGAGGAGATCCGGTCTGCAGTGTTCGATAACGTGGTCCGACTGGACATGGAAGTCCCACAATATCTTGACTTTTTCGTTCTCCAGCACCTTCTCTGCCCGGTGTTCGTACCACCTTTTACTGCGTGGGAAGCCGTATTCCTTGCACAGACTCCAGTGCAATGCGGCAGCTACTTTGTCATGCCGACACTTATATTCTGTCTGTGAAAGTTTTGGGCACCCATTCTGTATGTGGTCTATTGTCTCGTAATGATTTCTGCAGAGTCTGCAGAGGGGAGAAGAGCCAGGTGTTTTGTCAATCCTGTGCTTCACATAATTCGTCCTAAGTGCTTGGTCTTGGGCTGCTATCAACAATCCTTCTGTCTCCTTCTTCAAGTCTTGTTGAGTGAGCCAGTTCCAAGAGGTTAACGGGTCCGCTATACCCATCATCTGCCTTGGGAACTGTCCGTGCATCACTTTAGCAGTCCACTTCTCCTTTCGGATTTCCTCGCGTTGTGTTCGGTCGATATCTTTCTCTATCTCTTCACCCAAGAGTATCTTGTCTTTGACAAAGTAGTCCTTTAGAGCAATCAGTTCTGGGTCTCTACTTCTCACCACATAAGTGGTGAGTGCATTCTCCTCTCTCTTTACGACTTCCTCTATACTATGTAGCCCACGGCCACCCAGTTGACGGCTTACGTATAACCGATCAACATCTCCTTGGGGGTGGTGAGCTCCATTTATCCTCATCAGTTTCCGGGTCTTGACATCTAAGGCTTTGGTCTCTCCAGCATTCCATGAGAGAATTCCAGCTCCATATCTTATCACAGGTACAGCCCAGGTGTTAATTGCTTGTATACTATTCCTGCCATGAAGCTGGGATTTTAAAACCTTTTTAACTCTTCTGATATACTCCTTTGTAACCAGTGCTTTCATCTCTTTGTGCAATATATCATTGGCTTCTAGTATTCCCAGATACTTAAAGCCGTCGTCCTCCAACTCATGGATCTGTTCACCTGTGGGTAGGGAGATGCCTTCGAAAACGGCTCTTGCTCCCTTCTTCACCTTCACCACGGCACATTTCTCTAGTCCGAATTCCATTTTTATGTCACTGCTGAACTCTGCTGTGGTATCAACCAGTGTTTGCATTTCGTCTTCACTCTCGGCATACAACTTGAGGTCGTCCATGTATAGCCTATGTGACACTTTCGGTCGACCTCCCTTCTCCAGAGAGTATCCTATGTCATGCTTATTCAAAAGAATGGACAGGGGTATAAGACTCATGATAAAGTGAATAGGTGATACTGAGTCTCCTTGGAATAGACCTCTATTAATTTTAATTCTCCCAAGAGAAACTTTACCAAGCATTATTATTATTATTATTGTTAACTAATTTTGTCATAGTTTGTTGTTTGTTGAGGTTTTTAGGTAGCCGGGATCGTACAGTGTTTGATTTCACTAGTTGTATGGTTGTTTAATATTGCCTAATTTTTAGATGGCTCCCTGGTTTATAGTTCGCGTTATTTTTACCGCTATTTGGGTTGGACATTTTTCTTTTTAAGGTTGTTTGAAAATCTTTTACTATTTTGGGTTAATAGCGGGGAGCTTCCTATTATCATTTTCCCACCTTCAGGATTTTTCAATGGTTTGCCCAAGGATGTCACTTCATGTTTTGGGTGTGGAATCAGATGTGTTGATTTAATTTTATAGATTCAATTCTGTATTTGTTCTTCAAATTTTGTTTCTCTAAATAGGTTAGTATGGCTGAATAAGTATGTAAGTCAACCATTTTGAAAATTTCTAGGGAGTGCTTCTTGGCACCCACTTGTGCTAAAACAACTGTTTAATTCAAGTACAATGTCAACATCAACTCCTCCTCTTGACGGACCATGTCTTTTGGGAGATTGTACTTTCAACTGGAATACATCAAAGAAGGCAGAGGTTTTTAACAGGCAATTAGCTATTTTACAAGATTAAATGATTATCATGTCACTGAAAACAATAGGCTTTGTATAAATATATAGTGAGGAATTTAGAGGAAGGGGTCAGTAAAGAATAAACCAGTTGCTTCATTTATTTATTGACTCATCTGCACTCAGCAGCAGTAAACCAATGAGTTCCATGGTTCACCCTAACTGGTTAAGTAATTAGGTTCACAAATTACTGTGGTTTCAAAGTGAGAAACCTTACTTGATTATATACCAAGTAGTCAGTTCACATTGTCCTCTATGATATACTAGAGAACCTTTAGGAAAATGTGATCTTTGATTTTTTCACGGATTTTTATAAGGTTATCAAATGTTTGAACAACAGAAACGCATATAATGTAGTCTCAAAATATACTAATTTTAATTCAGGATACGATACTGCCTCACCTGTTATCAGAGCACAAAGTGGTCATAGCCTCCGTGGACACAGTGTACAACATGCAACAATACCTTCATTACTGGAGAAACAAAGTTCATGGAACAAACTTGGCTGAGCACTTGCACGGAATTAATGTCCACAAGAAAGAAGGAGACAGTTACCCTGAGTTGTATTACATGCTGAATGACACGTCTCAGGAGGACAAAACTCTGAGGCGCAGGATATACAATGAAACATTGATCAAAGTTTTAAAACAACAGCAGGTACAATGCTCACAATTTTCAAACATTTTTTCCCGATCCATGACTAAAGTGCTGTGGGGCGTAGTCACAAAAGAGTCAAGCAAACGAGATGTTTTTTGTATATTTTAGCTTCCTTCCGTCGTCCCTGTGCACACTTTCAACATAAGAAATACGGCCGCTTTTTATTGTTGTATATGAGCACATTGCCGATCGGACGAACAATTTTGTGGAAGTAGCCCTCAATGTTATAAAATCGGTTGGCACTCAAAGATTTAAAATTTTCATTTTACAAGGGATCCTTTAATCTTGATATAAATATGTTGTATTGTCAAAATGTTAGGCTTCATTGTTAGCCAAACTACAATTCTGCACTAACATATCCCTCTTACAGGAAGAACGAGAATGTGAGAGTTTGAATATTGACTGTCTTTTCTGTCCTGACAAGCTAAAAGGAAACAGATTCAAAATATCAGAACATTTGTACCACGAACACAGCTTTACCCTGGGCCATCCTGACAATTTGGTAATTCCATTTCTTAAGTTTCTTGAACTCCAACTTTAACTTTTCTTTTTTTATATTGAATGTCTTTTTTTAAATAATGAACGTCTGCATATTGTACAAAATTATTGTAATAATTATAAAATAAATAATATTCAAGTTATCATTATTTTATATGGTAAAAACATTACTATTACTCCAGTTTATACAGGATTTTTGACTTAACATTAAAGCTGTATCTAATGCAGGGTGCATTTAGGTGTATACTGCTCAATTCATAGAGCACCTGCGCAGTAAGATGGTACGGGCAGAATGTTTGTACTGTGATAAAACATTTCGAGATTACAAAACTCTTAGGGAACACATGAGGAAGAAATTACACAAGAAGTTAAATCCTAGCAACACAGGTTATATATAAAACACTGCAACCCTCTTATTTGTTGAAATATAATGGATATGCGACCAGTAAAACAAGGTTATCAGTAAAACAAAGTTATCAATTTTATGCCAATTTTATACAATAATAATGAAAATCTCTACAAAGAAAAGCAAATTAGGATAATATTTGCAATCCAGTCATACGTTACAATAATATGACAAATGACAATTGACATGACATGATGTATGCATAATTTACATGAAACAGAACACAGCACAAAATTTGAATTTACCTTCAGCCAAACCACATAAAGATCGACGGGACACCCCAAAATGCGTGCAGAGTTTTTCAAGTTGTGCACAGTGACGTCATCAGAACTACTTATGCCTTATATAGTGTGAAATGTGCATCAATTATCCCATATAATATAGTATAATTGCATCGATTGATCACGTGACACGTGCCAACTTTAAGGTAAACAAATATGCCTCACCTCCTACCAGAATCCACATCTATGAATCGTGATATTATCATAAATAAATTAGTGGCCTCTCATAATAAGATAGACCTTATATGCTAGCCTTCTAATAAAAATTGCGAATACAATTATTAAATGTTGCTTCTCTGTTTGACCGCCTAAATCTGATCTGTTAACGTTTCATACAATTATAAATTATGTAATCATTGAGCGGTGCATTGCTTACTTGCTTAGTCATACATTGACTAAGCAATTTTAAACTAATTACAACACTACAAATCTATTACATTTATTGAGTATTATGTAACGCGATGGAAATGTTTTAAGCCGGTAATATCCTGTCCAAACCCAGCATACATTATAACATGAAGACTTCGTTGTTACTTTGTATGAAAAGCATTAATAAATTATATTATGTTAATTTGATTTTGTTTAAATTCATTTATTTATCAAACATTTGAATACGCTTCTACATTAAAAACTTACCTCTATAAATAGGCGTTATCTAATATCTATGTTGTAAATTATTTTTCAGAATTTGACAAGTATTACATCGTAAACTACCGAGAATTTGGAAAGAGTTGGAAGACTTTGAGTAAAGACGATAATGATGGTTCAGACCCCCGGAATGGTAAGAAAGATTCAAGCGCAGATTGAAAAACTCTTCTTTTAGGAGGAGGTAGAGATCATTATCATAATTCGAAAAATTATGTCTGTCTTTATGTACGACCGCCAACGTGCAAATTGAACGAAACATAAAAAGGTGCATAGTAACCATGGTAACGGTGTTGAACTCGCACGTGCAAAGATTTGCAAGCGACATTCTGATCGGTTTTGTAATAACCACTAACCCGGGCCCGTACAGGAAGTCCAACTGAAGAAGACTGGTCAGACTGGGAAGGCTCAGCTCCGGAGATACAGTGCTTAGTGTGCAGTGTAGTTTACTCCAAGTTTACTGCTATCAAACAACACATGAGATCCCAACACCGCATAGACTTGGACAGCTTGTGTAACGGCATGTCTTATTACAAGCAGGTCAGTTGTGAGTTCATATTATAGACTTCAGGCGACTTTCTGTCAACTCGAGCACAAGCAAACCGTGGCTATTGGCAATATTAACTGCAAAGTTTAATGAAGGTTAAAAGCTAATATACTACCTCAGGTAAAACTGATAAACTATATCCGGTATCTTATAATGGACTCAGACTGCCCCTTCTGCGACCAATCATCGCTACCTGATATATCCAAACACTTGCTAACTCATATGAACATAACATCTATGTCACACGAACGTTTCAATGATGACCGGTATCTGTTTCCTGCGCTGGATAACGATTTTATGTTGTGTTGTTTAAAGGATGTACTTGTAGAGGGAGAGGATGTTTTGGTTATTCCTGAGGATATCCCACAACCTCACACGTGACACCATTAAGGTGGTGCGTCATACGTCCACATAGTCAACCTTCAGAGACATGATAAAATTATAGCGCTTTCTCGTTGAGGAGGTTGCTCTTACCAGTTCAGCTTTCTTTGAGTTTGAGGGTGGTGTGTATATATATGTAGCGGTACTGAGTTACAAAGGTTCCTCTTGTGCAATCTCTCCAATCACTAGGACTATTTTGTTACTTTTGATTTTGCAATTGGTTTTATGAAATTATAAATGGAATATATTCTTATTTTATGACTTTATTGTTTATCATAATATGATAAACAATGAAATATTGTGTATAAAGTAGAATGGATTCCATGAAATGTTTATAATACAGGATTTTCAAAAAAGGCAACCATGTGATCAGTGTTAATAACCCACAAATTATTCTACAGTTGTTCAGGCAAGGTGGTTCCGCCGCGCCGTGCAGCTCCTCAATGCCTTGAACTTTTGGGAGTCGATTCGGTTTCAAATTCTGAACATAATGCACTAATTATAAACGACAAAGTTCCATAAGCTCTTTATGAAATCCTATCAGTGCCTATCTAGCAGAAAAATGAATGGGCCAAATAAAAAGGTTCCTGATGGATTTTTGCATGAAATTTTGAACACAGATTCCGCAGCATCATAGCACACGGGAAGTTTCAAGTTGCTAGCTTAAATTTGAGGCGAATTATCAACGAAATAAACTATGTTGCTTTCTTTGAAGCACACTGCGTTTCTAGTACCTCTTATTTCAAGTTGTACATTCTTTTGGTTTGAAATTGCGTAACTGATGAAATTTGTTGACGAATGAAATTCAAGCCAGAATTTGTTGATAAAAATTAAATATTGAATGGGCGGCTCCAAATTTTATGCAGGAAAATTCTGTTTGCTTTTAGGTAGAACACAGAACTAATTGACTTTTCCTTGTAAAGTTGTAAGGGGTCGTTCACATATTACGTAATCAATATTTTAGCAATTTTTACCCCCCCTCCCCCCTTCCGTAATCAACCGTAATCAAGACCCAACTCCCCCCCCCTCCTGACAGCAATATTACGTAATCATGGCCCCCTTGAATTTTTTCCTAGAAAACACTTTTCTCTACGTTTCATGCTACCCTGATCTGTGATCATGCTATCATGATGAGCCAAAATCATTGTTATGATATCCGGCCAAGCACTACTTTCTATTATAGCCGTATATTCAATCAATTTCTAAATTTTATCACTATCAGAGTGAAATTGAGTGGAATTTGAATTAAAATATTGTCAAATTGTTATTATTCTAGAGGGTAAAAAAGAAAATTTTGATTACGTTATCAACGGCCGAAACCCCCCCCCCCCCCCCCCCCCCCCCCCCCCCCCCCCCCCCCCCCACCCCCCCGTAATCAACCGTAAGCATTTGGAAACCCCCCCTCCCCCCTCGGCTGATTACGTAATATGTGAACGACCCCTAAGCGGAAGAGATAGCGAGGGTGGAGGGGTTAGTTGAACAGTGTAGTGATAATACAGATAACCAATATTGGTGATCAATAAGTGTGCACTAAAACTGTATGATGAGCTGTTACCTGATAGATCATAGAACTAGAGCTACTCTAGTAGTACTCATCGTCATAGAGTACTCATCGTCAAACTTGAAAGTTTCAATTGTTTATCTCTCACACTAACTTTAACACGAAAGTCGTGTTAAATTTGATACCGTGGTGTCAGTAAATGGCAACAGATATACCTATATATTTCGTCTCGCTTTATATACAATATACATACATGCAATGTTACATAATATCTTATATAGTACGATATGTAGCATGTATGTATCATGTATCACAATTATATGTATCATATTATATGTGTCATATATTATAATTTTATGTAACATTAATTACAGTTAATTGTTACAGCTAATTAAGTTTTCTGTTAATAGGATGAACTAGCACAGTTTAAGGGAGACGTTAAGATGGCCAGTATTGTTCAACGTTTCCTCGATTGGATCAGGTCAGATGACTGCAAAGTGCAACTATTTTGCAATTATTGGTTTATAAAGTACATTTTGTCGTGGTGATTTATTTATATAATTATACTCAAAAGTCAAAAATGTGTCCAAGAGTATTTGATGTTTTTGTCAGGTCGCTGTTCTGGAAAGAAGAGATGGAATTGACACTGGTCGGTATGCAAAATAGTGGCAAAACTACTTTTGTTAACGTTTTAGCGGTAAGATAAATACATACACTTATTTTGTATTAAATTATATGAAAATTGTACAAAACCTTTCGACCTGATTCTATTTAAATAAAAACTATAAAGCAATGCTATGACACATTTCTAATTTTAATTTTCAGTCTGGGCAGTTTAATGAAGACATGATTCCTACAGTCGGCTTCAACATGAGAAAAGTTACTAAAGGGAATGTTACTATAAAGGTTACTATATACTTTATAATGTTACTATAAAGCTAAAGTTTACTATATAGTTTATGTTACTAATTTATGAAAATTTGGCTCTATCGTCCATTTTTGGGTTTCACCCTGTACTTTATAACGTTACTATATAAAGGTGAATGTTTGCATCGTCACGTGATCCAACAATGTGGATTTCACCAACACCTGACAAATGACATGTCCGCTACTGTTCGTGAATCTTCCTTTGGCATTTTGACCAATATTTGTATTCGAACATTTTGAACATGACCTAACTTACTGATGTAAGTGATCTATTGTAGATAATATAATACGGTTTATCACTCATTCACACAGATAGATGTCTTTGTAATGTTCAATGAGCTATTAGCTTTATATCACGAGACTAACGTGTATACCAGCTCGTGACCTCGCCGTACTGTATTCTGTATAAGCCACAGCTTTAGTATACAGCGTTATTAATGCTTCAAACATATTGTACTTAATGTGCACATTATATAATCAATGTTTATATTTCCAACCAAATGTTCGGGTTTAATTCTTATAGAGTATAGTATAGACCCAGTATAGACCCCGTATAGACCCAGTATAGACCCCTACTATCTCCTGCCAATTATGGGATATTTCCACTATCCACGACTTAACCAATAGATTGCTTATTAAATATGTAATATGTAGCATGTAATATGTAACATGTAATATGTAACATGTAGCGTGTAGTATGTAGCATGTAACATGTAATATGTAATATGTAATATAACTATCACCCAGTTGTGGGATATCGGCGGACAGCCTCGTTTTAGAAGCATGTGGGAGAGATATTGCAGAGGTGTGTCCTGTATAGTGTACATGGTTGATGCGGCAGATCACGAGAGATTAGAGGGGAGCAAGCAGGAACTGCACAATCTACTGTCCAAACCTCAACTTGTTGGCATTCCGGTACGTCTTTAAATATGAATGTGAAATTACGAATTATTTAACTGTTTTAAGGAACATGTTATCTCATTATTACATATTTACACTTTTGCTTTTGGGGATTTACATTAGATAAATTATATTACTTGGCTAGTGGCAACAGAGTACTTGAGCATCATCAATGTTGCATGGTATAATTGTGAACAGAAGTTGTGAGATTATACTACAACATATTTTTACGTATATCTTAGTATAATGTTGTTTTAATCTTCAGGTGCTAGTTCTGGGGAATAAGAAAGATCTGCCAAACTCGCTGGATGAAAACCAGCTTATTGACAAGATGTAAGTAGCATCCCTCTCTGGAACAGCTAACAAATAATTGGGAGGTATTTGATGTTTATGGTAACTTGGTAAGTTATATAAATTGTTTATGGTACGGCACGAGACAACAGTCATGGGAACATTTTCCGATCAAAATTTGAGATCTCCTCTCTGTGGGGTGGTCACACAACGTGATGGCCCTGTTAAAGCTTAACAAATCTCAACATGTGTGACATACTACATAGGTAGGTGACTTTACTAGTGACTACCCTCTCCCGTTGTGTTTATCTAGTGAGGAACAGTGATATAAGTTTAATCTATTACAGGGAGTTAAAGTTAGTGACGGATAGAGACATATCGTGTTACTCGATATCCTGCAAAGACAAACACAACCTAGGTACCTTACACTGGGTCTTTACATTTTCCCATCATTTTATTTCTTCTGGTACATTTCTTGTTTACTAATTACATAACATCTTGTTGTAACTTTTAAAAGTTGTTATCACAATATTTAGTGCATACAAAAGTTATATTTTCAGACATAACGATGCAGTGGATAATTTCACGAAACAAAAACAGAAAATAAACAGCCCTAACACACCCCTCCTCCCCTTCCTACTGACTCTCAAAACTCCTCTGTCAATGTTTATTCCGTGTTAACAAATATAACCATGTTTTATAGTCTTATTTGGAAAAAGACCAAATCGATGACTTCCAAATTGTTTTGTGCTCAATTCAGGTTTTAAGTTTGATCAAACTGCTTAGCTTGAGTTTAAATATTGTGTTTCTTGAGTTTTACTATATGAGGTAAAGAACGATTGTGAGCCAATGATACCGCTGGACGATCTGAAATCACGGAGTTAAATGAACTTTCTGGTTGTACATTCATCGAAACGATGACATTTTTAAGTTAACGTTAGTTTAACGTGCATAAATGTTTCAGTGTTACATCAAATAATAGAGCATGCAATGGTCTGGTAGTTGTTTTGTCTTTTTGAAAATTGGCAACTTTGACGATGTTTTGATTTACGTATCTTTATAATCGTGGTCAGACCTACGATTACATGTAGTAAATTGGTGAAATAAAAGTTGCTTTGTCAATTGATTTTGTACGAGAATTTATTATGAAGTTCCTAGTTTTCGTATGGGACATAACCAAACTTTAACTGTACGACTAGTAAATATGTCAACTTTATATACAGAGTATTGCTATTTTCGCGCATAGGACGCGCGCGCATAAATATTAGTCGGCTGGCTAGCTGCGCTCATATTGCATATCATATAATCAATAATGAGTCATAATAATAAGTTATAATCATGATAATGTTTCACTCTCCCTGGGACTATCACGCGACCTGAGCTCACACATTACATGTAACAAGACCCGCAGCTGAACCCAAAATGCAAAAGGTACGCTCCTCACCTGGGGGATGATGATTAATCACTCGACTGTCGACTGTCACGTGACTTTCTCAACCCGTTCTCTTGTCTACAATCTTGCTAGCTGGCTGAACGACTATTCGAAACTCTAACCCTCTTATCTGATCATATAACCCCTTACCTAATCCTTAACAAAAGCATACGCTGAAACCCTATACTAACGAGAAATTAGACTAACTTCCTTATACGTACGGTCATTTCACGTGATGATTTCACATACATAGCTAGGTAGTGCGCCATCGACAGTGAGCCGCGCGTGCCGACTGTGGGATGGTTTTTAGCGCTAATTTCGGCCAGCACAATTTTCTTCAAACAAATAGATATTAAGTATTCTTCCCGACCTCCGATTGCAACAAAAATTGGTAAGCTTACTCATAGACTTACAAGAAATGTATCCGAAAAGTTTAAAGCATATCCAACCATCAAACATTATGTTACAGCTAAAA